AAAAAAAAAAAAAAAAAAAAAGAAAGAAAGAAAGAAAGAAAGAAAGAAAGAAAGAAAGAAAGAAAAAGAAAAATACTGTTAAAAGAAAAGCAGCACAAGTTTTACAAAAGTCAGCGTTCCTGACTCCCAAGTTCAAAGAACCTGATGAGGGTTAAGATGCCCGGAAGCTTTCCGAGGCTTTCCTTTAAAGATGACTGAGGGCCTGAAGACAACACAAATAAGCAGCTGAATTCAAACCCAGCCCAGGAGAGGAGAGTCAGCAGCACAGAGGGACAGTTAGCAAAACGGATGAAAGCATCAGGGACCTAGGAAAACATCAGCGAAGGAATTGGGGTTTTTATTTTTCAAAAAAATAGGAATGCTGGAAATAAAAAAACTCAGTGAATCATATTTTTTAAAAAAATGCATACAGTGAAAAGAATCGATTATAGATTCCACCAGGCAGAAGAAAAAAATGTAGAGTTGGGAAATAAGGTTAACAATAATCACAAGGATGAATGGTCTCTATCCATCCATAAAGAGACTGGCTAGCTTACAAAAGCTAGAACCAACTGCGTTCTAAGAAGCACATTGTGCTAGTAAAGACTCCTATGGACCGAGGCCAAGGATAAAATAATAACAATAAAATAATAATAATATAAAAAAAATTTTAAAAACTGTTTATACAGCAAATGGGAACAAGAAAAACAAAGATACATAGATAATCTGGTAACTGTTAAAGTCGATTTTGAACCAAAAATAGTCAGAAGAGATTTAAAAGACCATGGCATAATAATAAAGGAGCAAACCAATTCACCAAGAAGATATAACAACTGCAAACATACAGGTGCCAGTTTTATACAATAGACACTAGTGATCGTAAGAGGTTGAACCCGAGGATGGACTGGGGACGGGTGAGCGGCAATGCACTTCTTTATCGGCTCACTTCCCAGTGTGACTATGTTGACTAAATCTCCAGTGTCTGCTCTTCACACTCTGCTGTCCTTTAGTCAAGCTGCTGAGGATGGTTAGCCAAGCGGAGCTTCTTGGGGCTTCCAGAGCCCAAGCTGATCCTGATAACACTGCCATCAATGTGAACCACCCAGCTTCCAGCGGAGAGTTTCAGCTGCCAGGAAGTGAACTCACTCCGAACCTGGAGTTCTTATGAGCCATTGAGTGGCTTTACCTGATCTCGGACAACAAGCACATCGCTTTCTTTCTGCTGTGGGCTTTATACCTTGTGTTAGGTCATACTGGGTATCAAGCCTTTTCAACGCAAAATCCTAGCACTTTTCTTTTCCCAGTGGAAAGCATCTTGTTTTCCTCTGGCTGTAAAGACCTTTTAGCTCCTTTGGTATCCAGCCAGGAGGTGAAGGGTAAAACCCATCCATGTTCTCAGGGGGTTACAAAGGCCTCTCTCCCTGTTTTCAATCTCAGCATCTCCCTCTTGGTCAGTGTTTCCTCTCTCTCTCTGACCTGGGCCACACCCATGGTGAAGATGCTCTCCTCATAGGTGCGTTCCTGACTCCAGACACTGTAAGATATTAGAGTTTGGCACAGCAGCCGTGGATGGATGCATGTATGTACGGGCATGTGTTGATCATCCCATGTTAACGTGTAATGGAACCAGAACAAAGAACCCTCAGATCCTCTCCCTGCTTTTTCCCGATCCTTGACTTCTTGCAAACAGATACCAAGATGTGCCTGTCTAAATGTATACTAAACAAAAGGCAGTGTTGGCAAGGATGGGGAGAAGTCTTCTGGATTGTCGTAATATCTGTCAGTCACTAAGTTCCTGCTGGGGGAAGGGGAGAGACAGCATCAGGCCAGGCCCCGGGTGAGTTTCCCCTGAAGCATCAGGACACATACCAGAGAGCAGTTCTGTTCCCTGTGTTTACCTGTGTGCACGCACACATGCTTACATGTATGCAGATGTTCATACGGGTTCAGGTGCATGTGCACTCATAGACGTGTGAGGCGAAGGCCGGAGGATAACCTCAAGTGTTGCTCTTCAGCCGTTATACACATTTCGTTCTTTTAAATGAGATGCGGTTTTTTTCTCAATGTCTCACCAGCCTGGAACTCGCCAGTCAGGTTAGGCTGGCTAGACAGTGGGCCCCAAGAATCTCCCTGACTCCATCTCCCCAGGGCTGGAATTAGAGGTGTGACCACGACTCCCAGCTTTTTCTACATGGGTTCCGGGGATAGACCTTGGGTCCTGATGCTTTCAAGACAAGGGCATTACTGCATGATCCATCTGCCCAGACCAACACTCCCATTTTATAAATGAGAAAAACTCAAGCTTGGTAGGACTTTTCCCAGGACCCCAGGGAAACTCAAGCTTGGTAGGACTTTTCTCAGGACCCCAAAGCTTGTCAGTATGATTCCCAAGTTCTTCCCCACCGCTTTGCTACCGAAGGGCCTTTAAAAAAAAAAAAAAAGGCAATTTAATTGATCCGAAGCAGGAAGTGATGGGTGTTTGGGAGTGTGGCTCCCAGGACGTTGGGAAGCTGCCACCTACACACATAGAATACAGGAGATGGCCATGTCTGTAATGCTGTCCCAGCCTTCCTGTCTAAAGACACACCTGCTCTCCAAGGCTACAGAGTATCAACTTTCTGAGTATCCCAGCTTTAGTCTTCCATATTCCCCAGATTCTATGCTCACAGATGTCTTACATTACGACAGACAGAGCATGAACTCGGGAGTTACCTTCTGTCTGGCCCTCTCCCTGCAGACTGGAGGGGAGGTGGCTAACAGTGAAGTGTCATGCTGTGTACTGAGCAGTCAGGATATCTCAGCCACTTTTCCATATACTTTAAACATATTAATGTAACTAGTGTCACCTCCTAAATGGTGAAGGATGGTCTACTGTTTCTTCATATTTACCGAAGAATAAAGGCAGAGAAAAATTAAATCTCTTGGATTAAAAAAAAAGTGTGTGTGTGTGTGTGTTGGAGACAAGGTCTCGCTGTGTTGCTCTGGAACTCATAGAGATCCGCCTGCCTCTGTCTCCATAGTGCTGGGATTAAAGGCATGGGCCACCACTCCCTGCCAGAGAGCATCTCCCTCAGTGGTCCTCAAATATGAGTGCTTTTTCTCTCTGAGGGGACATTTATAAGATGTGTTTGATTAGCACAGCATCGGGGTGTGAGGGACATTCAAGAGGTTGGGGCCGCGGGGGCTGCTAGACATAATACACAGTCACAATCCCACGATAAAGAATGGGCTCAAGCCCAGACGTTTAGGAGATCCTGGGATCGCGGGATGGCTGGATTGAGAGCGCTCCCAACTCCAGAGCCCACGTTCTAATAAACACACTGTGATCTCTATTGGACAATTTTAAGTATACACTTCTCTGGGTTCCAGGGAAGTAACTCACTTCCCTGGGTGTCACTCACATGGTGCCTGGCAGGTAGTGACTTCCCAGTCATTGTCTTTCTGCCTCATCACCCTCGGAGGGTCTCTCTTCCAGAAGAGCAGGGTCAGGAGATGACTACTGGGCTGACAGCAAGGAACAAGGCGGCCCCAGTCTGCGGAAGGGACGTTGTGTATCAAAAGTTGGAGTCCATTATTCACCCTTGAATTTCCTGGCTTGTTGAATGACCACTGTTTATGTTTGTGTTTACAGTCGACTTGGGGATAAGCAGCTCGAAGGATAATGTGGCTACTTCTTCCCCCAAGACAATGGAGGTCCGTGCTGTGGCCGATGCCAGCGGAAAGAATCTTGGGAAAGAAGCCAAGCCCAAGGCACCAGCTGCTAGATCCCATTTTTTCTTGACACTCTCTCGGCCTGTACCAGGACGTCCCGGAGACCAAGGCACGGATTCATCGGCTGCATCGGGGAGGGCAGCGCCTGCGAACAAAGACCCAAGTGAGCACGGGGCACTTCCGGTGGCAGCTGCACCAGAGCAGGCTCCAGATAAAACCCCAGAGTGCACTGAGGCCAAGCAGCAGACCCTCCCTGCCACCGGCCCGCTGGCACCCTCACCACCTGAGTCCCAGGCAGAAGCCCTGCCCAGGCCCAAGGATTTCAGCTTTTTGAACAGATTCTTTAAACTGGACAAGGGAAGAGAAAGTGTGCCAGTTGACAGCCAGTCTGAAGAAGCTAAGGGCTCCGAAGACCAAGAACAGGCCACAGAGGCCCCTGCGGTGCCAGGGAATCCCCATGGTGTCTCTGCAGGAGAGGTAAGTGGGTAGAAGGCTACCAGCTTCCTCTCCAATGGCTGCTTCTGTGGGGGGTGCTGTTGGGTGAGACCATTACACATCACCCTACAGTCACCGAAGGTCCTAGACAAGGTAAGCCTCTTCTATGTTTGTGTAGGCAGAAACATCAGAAGAACAAAACCTCTGCAAACCTTGAAGAGGTGGTAGGTGATTTACACAGAGATGAATCTTCCCTCCTAATCCAAGCCCAGGGCACAGGGCATATGTTTATGAGCCCAGAAAGAAAGGCACGGGGGAGAAAAATGATTTTACCAAGCCCCAACACCAGGCTGGGAATGTAGACGGTGAATGTTTGCCCAGCAGCCCTAAAGCCCTGGGTTTGATCTCCAGTGCTCACATAGCCCAGGGATGGAGGTTCAGGTTTGTAAGCCCAGCACTTGGGAGGTAGAAACAAGAAAATCTGAAGTTCAAGGTCATCCTTAGCTACTTAAGGCCAGCCTGAGCTACATGGGACCCTATCTCCAAGGGAAAAAAAAAAAAGAATTAATCATACCGTGACTAGTAGAATCCAGCCAAAATTTCCAGACAGTTGAAACTGTAAAAAGACAGTAAGACTAATATACCGAAGCCTCTTGCTACCAATATTTTTCTATGCCCATAAATTTGGACTTGGAGTTTATTTTCAAAGGTTATTTCCCGTGTCTGCTCCCAGACTGAACTAGCTTGCCGTACAGTCCAGTGAGCAGCAGCGTGTGAGGAGAGGTCTGGACCCATGCTGTCAGCCTCGATGCTGAGAGCATCCTATTCTACGAATAAGCCCTAAGCTGCTCTTCTTGGGGCTATGAACTGGTCACCAACAATCATGAAGAGTCCAGACAACTGTTTACAAATTTTACCAGTGTAGAGAACCTCTGGCTGGGTTTGCTTCACTGCCCATGAGTGTTGAGGGCCGTTCAGAGGTGTCAAGCTTCTTTAACAGCTTTTAAGGTGTCTGGGCTCCAAATCCAGTCCAGCAGCTGATTTAAGGGAAAAAATGAGTTATTTATAGAGAGAGAATAAAAAGCTATGCTCTGCCCTTCTTTGCACGGTTACCTAGTAACTCAGCCAAATCCTCCTTCTTAATTAAACAAATCAAACCTGAAGTCACCAGCGTTTAGTCACACACACACACACACACACACACACACACACCTGCGTGCTCATCCACTCTTTAAAGAACTAGGTGGTGAGAAGTTTTGAAGTGCAACTTTGTGAGTCTGCCTCCTCTGTTGGGCAGGGGTGAGGGACACCCTTGGAGACAGCAGCTAGATTTAATGGCAGTCAGTTCCCAGATGAAACTGGCATCGAGACGCAATCTGGGTTTTGAAACACAGGAAGTACATATGTCGTACAGCCCAGAGATGTTTGCAGTTAAAACGGTCTTTCAAAGTTTTAAAACCCCACTCTCAATTATAACACATGTTTCTTCCTGGATAAGAGACCTCTCTTGATTACACTTGCCAAGGAAACTCGTGTGCTTTAAGCTGGGTTACACTACAAATTTCCATGTTTCGGTTGGCAATATCGCTGAAATTTGAAATATTGAGTGTCCATCCTGTACTGTGTGTGTCCAACATTTTTTTTACATAATACAAGATAGCCATTTCACCTTCAGCCTCCAAACGTGGAAATTTGAATGTGTATCATGCACAAGGATTTTTAAAAACTGAACAGCCAAAAAAAAAAAATAGCCCTCTGATTCATAAAAGTTTTTCATCCAGCCTCTGTGGCCTACTTCTGTGTTTCTTCTGTGTTTTGGGGGAAACCCCCCCTTTTTTTGGTATAGTGAGAAAATACAGCCCTCAGAAATAACATGAATAAAACTTCCCAATCAATAACATTCTCTTGGAGCTAATACCCCCACGATGCAAAGTTGAACGGTGGATGCATCGATTCAGAATTAAGAAATCAAGCCTTGGATTTTGCCAAGTCAGCTATCGCTCCCCCTCTCCCATCCCCCACAGTTCTGTGCCTCTGCCCTCACTACCACTGCGGGGGTCCTAGCTGGGTTTGGAATTCCAGCCACAATCCCACCAAGATGTGAGTCAGGACAGAGGTAACTCCCTCCCCCCCCAATCTCCTCCTGGGGGAGGGAACACACAAATCTGTGTTTTCAGAATGACAATCTTATCTGTGTGGCTTATAAAACTACATTCAGACCATAGCATCATTAAAACAAGGCGAGAATTCACGGACAAGTAGGGCATTTACCACATAGGCCAAAGAAAAGATAAATGATAGGCCTGGAAGCTGACTGAGCTGTGATTCACACAAACCAACTGGTTGGCAGGGACGGGGCTTTTTTTTTTTCCCTCTCTCCCCAACTGAACCAGGGTTCTAAGATAAACATTTAATAGGTCTCGTTGCACGTGCTCAAAACGATCCTATAATAGAAATCTGCTTTTACTGCTTATAAAAGAAAACACTGGGTGTCTGTTTCTCTCACGGTCCTCCCAGGGGTATCTCTGTGGTGGACACGAGGAGGAGCAGTCATTGCCAGGAATGGTCCTTTGGTTCCTTAAGAACTAGAGATGCTTCTTTTTGCTTATGAATTTATTCAAGTTCTGCAGCACTTATTTAAACAGGAACCTTGTACGAGAAGAGAAAGATGGCTGGCATTTGTAGTTCTAGTGTGATCGCATCAATAACTGTCTTCAACCCCCCCAAAAACTTTTTATTACATTTATTTTGTTGGTTCGTTTATCAGCATGAGTCCGTGCACACATGTAGGTCAGAGGACAACCTGTGGGAATTGACTCTCTCTTTCCACCATGTAGGGCCCTGAATTCAATCTCTAGTCATCAGGCATGGCAGCAATGCCCTTGGACTTGCTGAGCCCTCTCGAAGGCCCCAGTAGACTTTCTTGAGGGATCCCAACCCTGAGCCCCCAGGTCACTTGAGTCTGAAGAGCAAGCTTGCTGTCTTCACTCTCTGCCCGCCTTTGCAGCCTTACATTCAGAAACACTCACCTGATGAGAAGACAAGAAAATAAACCGGATGTGGTGGTGCATGTCTGTAATCCCAGCACTTGGGAGGTGAAGGCAGGAGAATCAGGTGTTCAAGGTCATCCTCTGCTACACAGTGAGCAGGAGGCCAGCCTGTACTACAGAAGACTGGGTCTCGAAAGCAAAATTAAACTAAACAAATAAGACCCAACAACAAACAAACAAACAACAACAAAATCCATGGATAAATTGGGATAGGAAATAGATTACAATTACTGGAAGGAGAATTTGGAAAATGTTATCTAAAAAGACTGTGTGTGTATGTGTGTGTGTGTGTGTGTGTGTGTGTATATGTGTGTGTGTGTTTCTTTCTTTGTGTAACACCAAGCAGTTCTTAGTAGAAATTCTTAGATCTCTCTCAGAAGACAAGGCAGAGAAGAGTGGAAACACACACATATAAATGTGTATGTGTATATATGTGTGTGTATGTGCATAATATATATATAAATGTGTATATATATATGTATAATATATATTGACAGAGGAGAGGGAACAAACAAATATATATATACGCGTGTGCGTGTGTGTGTGTGTGTGTGTGTGTGTGTGTACTTGTCTGGGTGTTTTGTATGTGTACTATGTGCATGCATTATCCTCAGAGCCGGAAGAGGGCGTCAGATCCTTGACACTGTAGTTTGTGAGCTGCTGTGTGGGTGCTAAAGACTCCTGCTGAGCCATTCTCTCTCCAGCCCTTAGATTCTTATATTTTAAGACTTGTTTGGAGCCGGGCAGTGGTGGTGCATGCCTTTAATCCCAGCACTTGGGAGGCAGAGGCAGGTGGATTTCTGAGTTCGAGGCCAGCCTGGTCTACAGAGTGAGTTCCAGGACAGCCAGGGCTATACAGAGAAACCCTGTATAAAAAAACAAAAATAAAAAAAAAAAAAAAAAAGACTTGTTTGGTTTCCATTTGAAGTCTGATCATTTCCCAGTTAGGAACATGGCTATCTCTAGGGAGCTTGTTTCAACTCTATGTGGTGACAACACAAACTTTAAAAAAAATTTTTTTCAAGCACACTTGCCTTTCAAATAACCCAGTTTATAATTATTTAATGAGGCATTAGAAGACATTGTATACATAACATTATTTACTTTCTGCTTATGGAATCTCAGGATTTGTGTATGCTAGACAAGTACTCTACATTTGAGTGATCAACCCCCAATCCCCAGCACAAGGATTTTATTTTATTTTATTTTATTTTATTTTATTTTATTATTTTATTTTAATTCTAGCATCGTTTGCAGGAGGAAAGTTGAGAACTGATAAAAACTCACTAGGCCATAACTCGCCACCACATCCTCATGCACCCACTCGTCCACAGCGAAAGGGGAGTGAAAAATATTGAAATTATTAGTGGTGATTTCTTTTCCATGATGGCTCAGTGGATGCCCCGTTCGTTTATTCCTCTATATTTTCTCTTACTATTTTTAGGTGTGTGTTTTTTAAAATTTGGGAGGAGATTGAGAAATACCATTGCAATATAGCCTAAATTGGCCCCAAGCTAGAGGCAATACTCCCGCATCTGCCTCTCTAGTGCTGAGATTACTGGTGCGAGCTGCCAAGCCTGGTTTGTCTTTCACACAAGAAAAACACAAAACAAAACAGAAACACAGCCAACATTTCCCCTGTTCGTCCAGTAGGTGGCGCTGTGGGACCAGAACATCCCGAGTCTCGCTGGCCATCTTCAACCCTCCCTTGCGGAGCACATCTGTATCCACCCCTAGCTGATCGCAGTGGAGCCCACACGAGATGATTTTCTCTCTCCCCAGTTCCCAGACTCAGCGATCCAGACCTTGAGTGGCAATTCCTTGCTCTGAAACAACGCTGGCTTTTCAAACAAACCTGTCACCAGCACTGTGCGACAGCGGCAGCTTTTGGCGCCCTTTCCTGATTAACATTTCCTGGATTGCTTCAATTGCATTCTTTCCCAGTCCCGCCCTGGGTTTAAAACATGAGAATGCATTTTTATTAGCTGGTGT